AAAAAAAAAACTTTCAAAGTATTTGTGATGTTTCGACTTACTATGTCATTCAACCACATATTGAATACATTTAGTTATTACAAATATTACGTTCCTTTACACAATCAAACAATACAAAGTTGTAGAAAAAAGGTGTTAATGTTTTTGTTGATGTTATATTTATTCTTGTTATTTATATAAACCCTATCAGAAAATAATACTCTACGAACATCTCAGGTGAAGGGAAAAGATCTACAAAGTAATTAACCAATAAAAAAACTAATAATGCAATGAATTTGTGTAGCTCTAAAACGGATTTTATTATTCATTTACATTTGTATAAAATAGCAGTACATGTAGGTCCTATATACATGAAACGAAATGCATTTCGCAATTGATCATTCATGCAATTTGTTGATCAATCAATCAGTCAATCAATTATTTTTTCATTAATGACCAATGCCACTATGCATCTGGTAGGCCTATATCTAATAAGTAGTAACTTTGTTGTGTTTAAAGAAATATATTTTCTACATCCAAATTGCTGAGACGACACAGTATAACGATTGTGGATAAATAATAATCAAGTAATCATGAACAATAATCAAAATACCAATCTCTATTAGCATCAGTGGCGTATCTGGGGTGGGGCGCATATACGCCCCTCTCACAATTACTCACGCTCCCCCAGGAGTCCCAAAAAAAGAATCACGGACAAGTTGTTAAAAAGCACCTAAAATCACCTTATTTTGCGAGAGAGCTCCCCCTCAACTGATGATCGAGCCCGGCCCATTTCACATTGGCGCCCCCACCCCCACATCAGCACCTCCACTTTAAGACTCGTACGCCACTGATTAAGATCAGTAAAAGTAATCAAATACAGCAAAACTAATATTATCATTCTTAATACAAAACAAACCATAACTATCTTATATCCAACTGCATCTCAATTATAATAGATCAAACAGGAAAACATGATTAATAAAAGAAATAGCCTAACTTTAAAAAAAGGCATACACAAATGAAGGATATACCGAACAATTTTATTGGATAATTAAACTGCGTCGTTGTACAAGCAATATTGAACAAATAAGCTAGCTATAATAGGCTACTTTCACTATTGAATAGGCCTATCAGTATTCGTTTTGTAATAGTGTTGTGATATTATAAGCTTTGTTATTCAAGGTTTGTAAATGTAAATTTCATATGGATTTAATAATTATTTAATTATTATTATTATTTTCATCATCTGAATCTGAACTAGTCCTAGGCCTATATGACTATCGCATAGCAAAATTAAGATAATAAATCAAATATAGGTATCACAACAAAACAAATTCTCTTTGATTTTTTTTAATTCACAGCTAGATTCAATTTTAAGTCGTCCAATATGGAAATAGCAGGAAGTATAGTCTTACATAAGACAATAACATTTCATTAAAAAAAAGTTCAATATAGATCAAATATTAATTAAAATGAGGTTAAAAAAGTCAAACTTATAAATTCTACATTACTTTATGTTGTTCATTCACCGTACCGGTATTTGACGGGTTTGACATTTTACATACGACGTAGCCTACTATTGATGCATAATTCATAAGAAACCGCCTGGCGTAATTTGCGCATGACTGGAATTAAGACTTGGCAGAATTTTTGAGTTTCGACTTTCATGTACATGTTTTTTATCGTGGTTTTTGTGTTACTCTGGTGAGTGTTCCCATTGTACATCGGCTGACAAAGTTTCGTAGCGCTCCCAAAAGTAAGACGGTAATTAAGTTTGATAGGAGAAATTTTCAAAAAAGAATAATTTCCCAAACAAATCTAGGTAGGCTAGGCTAGTAGTATAGGCATAGGAGGACCTAGCCTACTCTATTCTAGCCATACCGGCCTGCGCGGGGAATGCTCCGCGCAAAAATTTGGCACAGAAATTTCTAAGGTTTACAGTCTGGTATTAAAGTAACGTAACCTCTGTCTATGTACCCTCAGTCTAGCCCTCCCCCCTCCCCTTGAGTACCACCACTGATTGTAAGTTTTTCTAATTCGGGGTAGTTCTCCATAGTATAATAGAGAAGTTTTATTTTAGTACAGAGTCAGAATCCTTTGACAAAGAGTGTACACTGTATATTTACATTGGGTGTATGGTTGCATAATGTGGGGTATTTGGCTGATACCAGTGTTACTCCGACCATGGAGGTATTATTGAGAAGATCACTCGGCAACAGTTCCCTTTGATGCGACAAACCCATGTGATCCCCGCTTTTGCATCGCGCGTGGGCGTATTACCCTATAATTAACATTTTTCGTTAGCAACAACTTGGCAACGACATGCATTTATACGCTTCCAGCAGAGCAGTTGTGCAATAAAGCGTTTGATTTTAACCCATTAAATATCCTTATAATGAACAGTGTTCCCCTGATTAAGATTTTTTCGGACTTTTGGTATGTTATTATTTGTATACATATTTCAGGAACGGATTCCGTAAAATATTTATGTTAAAATTACTTCTGTGTTCATTATAATTTTGTCTAAAGATTGATTAGTTCGACTATAAAGCTAAGTCAACATAAAACTGAAAAATACTCAGATTTTGGATTGATTTTTCGAATAGTTAACCTTCGTTAACCCTAAAATGACTTAGTTTATTATAACCCTCAATCATTTATTAATTAATATCTGTTAAAATTAGAATTAGCGAATTTTGGCCAATTTATGGAAATTGAAGTTGAAATATACTATACTTTTAAACTTTTTTTGGTGGAAAATATTAATATGTTTGATACTTTATGAGAGATAAATGTATCAGCTTCAAAATGGAAACGATTGCGTAGCCATAGTGATTGACAGTATGTAGTGCGCATCGAGAAAAGAAGGTGCTCTCCATTTCGCCATGTTCAATTTTTTGGTAAACTATGCCTGCTGAAAATTTGATGGCGGGGAACACATGGGACTTCAAAGGCATCGCGCAAACGTTCTTCACATGCTGCGGCAGCTTTGATCTTGGTTCATTTGCATAGCGCTGCGTGCGTGTAGCTTTTTCGAGTGATCTCCTTCTCAATAATACCTCCATGCTCCGACCAATCTTACTTATTTGCTATGTGGATGAATTATTCACAAATACAAACTTGCCCTCTGTGTGCATAAATATAAAAATATATGAAATGTAACATTTTTTTATTAATGGAAGCTCATTTTATTTGTACAGTATTTTTATTTTGAATTATTTTTTTAAAAAAATCTTTAGTTCTGTAAAAAAAATATATTTTTGGAAGAAGAACACATTTTGTTAAAAAACTCTTAATTTTATTTTTGAACCTTAATTTTTTTTTAAATTATTTTTATCTCCTTTATACAGTAACTTCTGTCCCTGCCCCTCATTTTGGTCATGTGACTGGATCTGTACTATAAAGCTACATGTATATATATGTTTTTAAAAATCTTTAGTTTTAATATGTAAAAAATATTTTTAGAAGAATACACATTTTGTTAAAAAACTAATTCTGTCCATGCCCCTCATTTTGGTCATGTGACTGGCTATGTACTATACAGCTACATGTATATATATGTTTTTAAAAATCTTTAGTTTTAATATGTAAAAAATATTTTTGGAAGAAGAATACACATTTTGTTAAAAAAACTCTTAATTTGATTTTTGAACCTTAATTTTTTTAAATTATTTTTTATCTCATTTATACAGTAACTTCTGTCCATGCCCCTCATTTTGCATTTTGGTCATGTGACTGGCTCTGTACTATACAGCTACACATATATTACTATACAGCTACATGTATATATACGTTTTAAAAAATCTTTAGTTTTATGTAAATAATACCTTTAGAAGAAGAATAGAAATTTGTTAAAAAACTCATAATTTTCTTTTTGAACCTTAAATTGGAAAAATTATTTTTATCTCATTTATACAGTAACTTCTGTCCTTGTCCCTCATTTTGGTCATGTGACAGACTGGCTCTGTACTACATAGCTACATAAACAATCCTTAAACTCTGTCCAAAATCAAATTGTTTGACAAAAAACAGTTGTATGCCCATATATAGACATGATGTGATGTCATTATGACCATATTTAGGCATGTATTATGGTTTTGTCAAATAAAATTTGATAGTATACACCATTAACCATTTCCAATAACCTGGCAACCACCACTGGGGAACTTTAGAGGCCTAGCATTTCACTCTGTGTAGCTACCATCATAGAATAATTAAACGATAAAACTAAATTACTAATGAGCATGAATATTTTTGAACGAAAAAAGGAAATGTATATAGTCTTAAAAAGCTATTTCAATGTTTACATAATACAGTAATTAGTATGATCGTATGTGTTGTCTACTGCTGCTATAGCAAAGGTCTAGCGGCGCAATGCGCTCCGCGGTGCTCATTTGTAACTAGCCAGCTCTTCAGGCTAAGTCCCCCAGTGAGTTGTGAGACGTTGGCGGCACTGCTTCAAAATAATTCCTATATAATGGTTTATAGACAAGGCTTTAAACGTCTGTTGCCAGGTTATGTTCACTGTCATTAGAATGATTAGAGATTGTCTCAACTGCTTCTCTGGTTTCTATAATATCTTCTTTCTTCTTTTTCCATTCTCGTTCTCTGTATTCATCCTTCCTCCTGTTGTACCTGTTATTCCTATATAGACTGTCCTTGTAGTAGTCATCACGGGCCTTTTCATTCTCACGGTGACGTGGAAAGTCTCTCGGTCTCTCAGCATAATCATGACAAGATCGTCCCTAAATAATTAATAAATAAAAAAGCACGACTTTATTAGATTTAAATTTATCATATGATGAGATTAATATCAAAATTGAGTAAGCCTAGAGCATTGTCTGTTGGTCAGCAATTTTACATTCTTTTTTTGCTAAGTCCAGATTCCTGCAGGGATCTAAAGCATTGCAAATTCCACATTAATTTGGTTACCATTTCTTTTGCTTTTATTGAGATTTACAAATCGATGTTTTCTTGGAAGTAAAACACTTATTTAAATTGATGAATTAAAATAGATATTTATTTATTTATTTATTAAAATGTTGGTTTTATAGAATTCTATTGATTTCAAACTTACTCTATAAGGTAGATACTCTGGCTCAACATAATCGTTAAAGTGACGCCTAGAGTAAGGCCCGTTGTAGTAACGCATTCCTCTAGATGGTGGACGGTCATAGCTATCCCAAGAGTCGCGTCGTTTATGCATGATCTTTGAGGGCACTGCGTAACGATCGTGACTGCTGCGTGTGCTCTCGGGTGAACCTTTGGACTCCTCGTACTCCTTATTGTATTTGCTCTCTTTCTCTTCCTTTGAGAGGTCATAGTCTGATAACCGACGAATGATTTCCACTGATTGTTTTTCTTCCTCCTCTTCATTTAACGTTAATTTTTTTCTTCCTAATAATTAAAATATCAATAGTTTTGTGAAATTATGCTAAAAACATAGTTAAAAATGATTAAAATGGTATTTCTACAAAGGAAATTTTGATATTGATACTTAGTCCTAATTTAAATTTAATTATGTATAGCTCCTAAACAATTTTAAAAACAAAAACTTTAAATATATTGTATACTATTAGACTCATTACAAAAGTAATGTGATGTTGAAGATACTGCCAGTGATATTATTGACAGATATTTATAAATATTCACTGGATTCCTATTGTTATATCCCTATGCCCCCATCCCCCTCCCCCCCAAAAAAAGCCATTGGTACAATGGAAATATACTCATACTTACTGTTGTATCTGAACTTGCAGCACATGATACCGATAACAGTCAGTGTCAAAATAAGAATTGAACCAGATACCACACCAATGATTATGAATATAATCATATCCATTTCTAAAAAAGAAAAAAAAAAATTCAAAAATAATTTTCAATACAAATCATTTCCTTTGTCTTTAAGCATCATCTATATTCATCCAAACATCAATTTTGTATGTCTTTAAATACATATTTTCGGCACACGGTGACTTGAAGGTTCAAGTATTTATATTAAAATCAAGTAGATGTTCCTTTGACTTTTTTCCCCTATGTGTATAAACTCATTTACTACTGAATTTCGCCAATGCACATCGTTTGCCACTTTTAAAAGAAAACTTAAAGCATCTATTTTCTAAAATATTTATAGGTAATCTCTGTTATTTAAGAATGTTTATTATGAATTTACCGTATTTATTTATTTATTTTTATTTTATTATTTCTTTTTTAATTGCTCTTGTTGTTTTTTTGCATTCTGAATTATTTTTATTGTAATGATATCAATATCTTTTTCATATTTCTCAGATTATTACTGTGTATTTTATATTTGTTGAAAACCCCTTAATATCAGCTCTCCATTAATGGTGAGCTGCATGGGTTATCCTCATTAAATAAAAGTTCAAATAAAATAAATAAATATTGAAAAATTTATTAAAAACAATATTTCAAAAAGTTTGAAAAAAAAACCCCAATATTTTACCACATGGTTTAAGAGTGATCATAAGCCAGGAAACCCCTTTCTCATTCCATATAGTGCAATTATAGGGCTTCATATCTTCTTCTGCTGTGTCTTCTATGAAAAGAATGCTCCTTACGCCACCCTTGATCCCTTCCTTCTTGGCAGAAAAACGATCTATGGATGTGCCTGTTAAAATTTTAAAAATTAGTTAGAGTATGCTGTTTTTAAACTAAAATACAAATGTGGCAAAGACAAGCCAAACCAGTCACTCATTGCAAAAATCAATGTTGAGTTATTAATACAGCGTTAAAGAGTAAAATAAGAGCTATAAAATGGTAAAGAAATCATTCAAATCCGACATTTCCTTATGAAGTTACAAGAGTTTAAACATAAAGAAATAACAATAAAACAATATATGAAAAATGACCCTTCAAATTTTATGATTTCGGACATTTCTCATGCAGAAACTATCATAAAATCCTTAAAAAGTGTTGTTTTAACATTGAAAATGGGGAAAATAACAGCATAGCATGATGTATAGATGTATAAATGATTTTTCCAGCATGTTTTGGCCATTTTTTCTGAAACATGATTTGCGACGAGTGACTTGTTCGGCTTGTCTTTGCCACAAATACTCAAACAATCTACAAAATGACAAAAATATTTAAAAAAATTTAGCAACTTTGGCCTACCAGTTTCAAGTCGCATGTCTCCGTCATCCCAGTTCCATTCAATCATCATTGGGTCTGGTTTGGTGTCAGTGAAACAGTTGATCTGGGCTGTACTACCTAGTTCAGTGCATTGCTCTTCCTTGCTCTCAATCACAGGGATACCTGGTTAGATATAAGATAGTTTACCTGGTTAGAGACAAGATATACCTGGTATAAGATGTACCTGGTTAGGTACAAAATACAGCTAAGATATACCCGGTTAGTTGCAAGATCCACCTGGTTAGCTAGGTATGGATACAGCTAGTTACTGTAAATACAAGATACAGGTTCACTAGTTAAATAGGAGATATACCTGGTTAGCTACAAGATACTGTACACTTGGTTAAGATAAGATATACCTGGTGAGAATGATGGTTAGATAATGAAAGATATAGTGAACCTGGTTAGATACTAGAATACAAGATACACATAAAGATTAATACAAGAAAATCTTTAGGTACAAGATACACCTAATAGATTAGATACATTGTACAACATGCCTGGTTGTTATATACATTATAGACCTACACCTGGTTAAATTTTACGCACTTACTATTAATATCTAATCTTGCATAGTGAACTTCCGCCTCAAACCCTGTGACAGTTGCTGTGCAGACATACATGCCAACATCGCTGTCTTTTACAGTATCAAACTGCAGGCGATTCATTGTACTTATGGTGACCCTGGAGCCTAACCGTGTCCACTTGATCGCTGGCTTAGGGTTACCATCTGCAGCACATTCTATGATTGCTTGTTCACCGAAATCAACTGAGATATCTTCGGGATAAGTGGTGAAAAATGGAGCAACTAAAATGAAAGAAAATTAAATATAATTAATTTATTGATTAGTATGATCGTGAACTTCATGATTGCTTGTTCACCGAAATCAACTGAGATATCTTCGGGATAAGTGGTGAAAAATGGAGCAACTAAAATGAAAGAAAATTAAATATAATTAATTTATTGATTAGTATGATCGTGAACTTCTCCTCAGTTTCAAATAAAGCTTCCATTGTTCTGTAAAAGTGGCAGATCCAGACTTTTTTTGGCCAGGAGGAGGTGGGAGGGAGCGGGATTGGCAATCAAAGACCTATGGCCTGAAACGCGCGAGTTTGAGGTGGAGTGATTTTTTGTTGGTGGGGGCGTGTTCTCTTATATATTAACTACAGGTCTTCCTCTAATTAAGGAACCTTCCAATTAATGACCAACTCCAATTAAAGACCAATTTCTGTGGTCCCAATTTAAGGGTTTAGCCAGGAAAACAAAATAGGCCGTCCAAAATTTGCTTTAGTTTAATGCAAAATTTGAAAGATTTGAAGAATATAAAGAATTTGCTAAAGTAAAGTAGACCAGGCTCAACTAGGCTAGACGGAGTTTGAGTAGGCTGTCCAAGCCGTCACGGTAAAAGTGGCCGTCCTAAATAATTGTTGGCCATCCAAAAGATGGCCAGACAACTCGCTGGCTAAGCCCTTGTCCCAAATTAACAAATGTCTTTTATTTTTATTATTTTAATTAGAGACCGAAGCTACTAAAAACTATAAAAACCCTGGTCCCAAAAGTGGCAGGGAGAACTCTACATACTGATGTTAAAACTTACAATGGACATTGAGTTGGATGCTATCCTCTCCGCTACCAACTGCATTTGTAGCCACACACTTAAAAGTCACACCATTGTCATTTTTAGTGATTCTCTTCTGCAGCTGAGCCTCTGATGCCCCTGTAATGAAACATCAATTCAGTATTATATGTATAACCTATCGCACAGGTGGACATAGAGTGACCCTCAGGCTACATGTGGCCCCCCAGCAATTTTTTTGCAGCTCCGCGGAAATGAATTAAAAACCCAATGTGTGTGGCGCACCAAGCAACACTGGCTGGAAAACACCTTGTTTTTTGTGACCCAACACCAATCATATCAGACTGGGATCCAGTCCCTGAACTTTGTCTTAATCAGTGAAAATGCTTGGAAAAAAAAAATCGATTTTGGCACCAATTGAGTTACTTATTTGCTTGGCGTTCCATAGTATACTTTTAGTAATAGTATTGAAATTTTCTAATTCCCATCCAAATTCAACAACATGAAAAGTTGCTTGATATAACCAGATGCTGGTGGCGCTCTACGGAAAAACCAATAATTAGAGACTTGTAGCAAGTCTACAATCATATGTAAAAAATAAAATTAAAACTGACGATAAATTGGTGTAAAAGCAGTTCTGGAAACAACAAAGTTTGCAGCTCTCTGTGTTAAATCAAAAATTCAGTTTGGCCCTCCGGCTTAATTTTTATGCCGACCCCTGGCCTATTGGATCAATCAACACAAATTTCATTTTTGCCATGTTGTTGAAATGACAATAAAAAATTTATAAAATCAAAAATTTAAATGATTAAGATAAAGATTTCAAAACATAATTTAAAAAATACACATTGATGCACATATTGCAATACCATCTGATAATTGTTTGTGGTAGTATGAGTTAATTTGTCATTAAAAGATTTGTATGCGGGCGTTGCCACGCTGTATTCTCTATTAAAATCCATTAAATCGCTAAACGTTATCACAGATAGCTTTTGGATGCTGATTGATTGGTTGAATTGGCGAGCATTCACAACTTCGTCTTGGACCAATACGCATCATTTACAATCTCAGTAAACACACTGTGGCGAGAGTGTAGTGACTGTATGGGAACCAAATCTGAAATGAATGATCTTACCCTCGATAATGACATCACTCCTATACCAAGCATAAGTCATGGTATCTGGATTAGCGTCTGCAACACAGTTGAATATCACCTCATTGTTTTCCTTAACGGTCTGATGGCTTGACTCGATAACTACAACAGGCTTATCTAAAAGAATAACATAGTATCCCGAAAATATTGAATTTTATATCCTCTATTTTAATGTTGGTAAGATGTATTATTTGTAGTTTGTGTCATTTTAAGTTTGTGCATGGGTTAGCTAGTATAATAGCCTCACCATTGATTGCAGTAAGACTAATAATATAATAAACATAACCTGAAATGTTGTCTATTATTAACAGGGAGCTTTCCATTGTACGACAACGGTAGGACGTAGAACGTAATTACGTCACTAAAAGTCATCTGCGCATGCAAGAACGTTAAGTTCTCGTGTGGTTCTTTGGCCAAATCTACGTATGCAGAGAACGTAGGATGCCCAGTAGATGGTCACGCTTGAGTGTTTCCTCTAATATTTATCGGTGGACCCATGGTTTGAAAAAAGTAAATATTCAAAAAATAACGTACAGTAAGATAGATGCTTTAAGTACAAAGAAGGCCTATACTTACATTGCACGTCCAAGTCAATGATTGCTTTATATGGTTCGTTGAGCGCAGCATTGGTAACTTGGCATGTATAAACTGCCGCATCATCCGTTAGTGTTGGTGTGATACTTAACACACTCTTAGCATCATGAAGCTTGCCAGTAGGATCATTCTGAGAAGGTTCAGTACTATAAACAGCGCCCTCTACAACTGCTCCATCTCTGTACCATTTAATCTCTGCTGCTGGATTACCCTTGAGCCCTCTACAGACAAGTTCAATAGGAATTCCTTCAACAGCAGATAAAGTAGGAGAATTTTCAATGGAAACTGATATGGGAGGACCTGAGGAATAGAAAGAGTAAAGACAAATGTATAATTAATATAATTATAATAAATTCACAGGGGCAGAGCCCCTAGTTTTTCTGAATCTAATATTAATTAAAAGCCATTTTAAATTTCTGTTTCAATAATTTAATCTTTTATTACTGCAAAATTCATTTCTGAATCTAATATTAATTAAAACCCATTTTAAATTTCTTTTTCAATAATTTAATCTTTTAATCTCAATTCAACTTTTATTCATTTAAAACAAATTAAAACAACATTACATCATTATTACTGCAAAAGTCATCAAGGGCTATTATCTGCAAATGTGTATAGAAAGTATAAATGAAAATACAAAAGAGACCTGTATGTCCAAACTATGGATCAAGGGGTATAGAGACCAGTGGCATAAAAATAGGTATGTTCCCCCCCCCCCTGCCTACCTGTCTGTACCCTGGTCAAAGGAGGTGGGGAACCCAACCTCCTTTGGCGATTTTGACTTTCATAATTAAATTAGTACTCCTTTAATAAAGCCCTGCTCAGCCAATGCTTTAGGAAAAAATGCTGAAATATCTTGGGGTCCTTTGAGGCCTAAATCTCCTGCTTTTAGCAGTGAGAGTCCAAAGCTGTTATGCTACTGAAGGACCTTGGACATTACTAAGGTCTTAGTACCCTGCATAACCCACCCTAATTAGACAGTGCGCTATGGGGCTAAAAGTCTTAGTAGCCTGTATACCCTACCTAAATTAAACTATGCATTCAGAGGTACAGATGTTACTAAAATATAAGGAATAGCTCTTAAAACTGTTGGTTGTTACATCATCTGATATGCAAAAAAATATAGTTCTAGTTCTTCAGGTCTAGGCCGCTGCAGCGGAAATTATCATTGAATACCGCTAGAGGGCTGGGGTAATTTCCTAATACCTCCATGATGTATGGTATGAGCATGGCCTGTAGACAAATCTTTGGATTATAAATCTCTTGTATAATAAGTATGGTGATCTTGATATATGAAACCTGATTTTACTTGAATTTCTAAAATCACAGATCTGTGCCTTAAACGTACCACAATATAGTAATGCATTTATTTGTTCCATATCTCTTCTTAATAATAGGAGATAGTAGTTGAGAAGAAAATTTAACTTCTTTTTTCAATGGCGTCACCTACTGTTGACCATAAGTAAAGCCATAAATTTACAAGTACTTATATTTGAATGCATAAATAAAATATTGATTCAATTAATTTTTTTTTAAAAGAAAAATATTATAGCTGCTCATTTCTCTAAAAATATAGTTAGCAATAACTAGGCTACTCCTATATGAAGATTTGATTGGCCAGTTGTCAGGTGGCCTAGGTCCCATGTGGATGAGCAAATAAATGAAAACCATTCTTAAACCAATAAAAAAAGAATCTAAACTAATGGAAAATATTGCATGAAATTAGTTCTAGTAGAAAGTATTCCCAATTGTAATTACAGTGATGGCGGTTGCTGTCTAGTTGAGTCACACCCCCACGTCTAAGTACCTTTCCTTTGTGACTTCACCTTGAAAAGCAGGTGTAATAAATTATTAAGGTCTAGAAGGGTGTGAGGAAAGGGCAAAAAAAGTCCAGACTTAAGTACATGTAACTTCTGTAACCTATTGAACATCACTCAACTCATCATCATAGTATATAAAGCAACCCTATTAAATTGGTTCACTAGGCATCCTCTCATCAACTGCAACTGCTCCTCTGGGATGAAGGGCCAAGATGACACTCAGGATCAAAGAAGTTGAGACCAAAGGGACTTCTCATTTTTTTTCATAATTTGTAAATCATCCACTAAAGATATTAAGTCCTGACAACTGACATGTATGTATATTGGCTTAGCTGTAGTCTGTTGATTTCGTAGCACTCATAGAATTCTCTGTGCCATGCGACCTCAATAGTTTATTTGCATTCATATTTATCAAATGCTGCTTCTGTATCTCTCCTCCATGTTCATATCGTCTTCGAGAAGAAAAGGGATCAAAATGGTTGGAGGGACTGAACCTTTAGCATATTGCCAGTTAGTGTAGGAGATGCCAATACCTTTATTGATACCAGCTTTAATTAACTCACTGAGGCTAGGGCTGGGGTTCTGGGTTTGGAGAAGAATCCCAGAATTTTTGATAATGATTATTGCGGTTTTCGCTGAGAAATTGTAAGATTACTGAACGCAAAGGCAAAAATGATTCATTGTTTTAATCTACTTAGATACTAGATATATAGGCAGAAAACATTATGTGCCATGTGTGTAAATAACATGTCATGTCAATAAGTGGCTTCAAGTACCCTTTCTTTACATTGTTTATCTTATGTACCTGTCCAGCCTCAAATGTACTTTTAAGTGTTTTAAGAGCTCATCAGACTTGGGTTCCAATCTTTTAAGTGTGCTTTTATTTGCCTTGTGTTGTTATGTATTCACTAATCTTTTTTGTGTAAGTTATCAAATAGAACACCTCAATATCATTTGGCAAATTGCATGCACTAGCAATATTGAAACACTTTGAAACTCAGGCAATACTTCATTTTTTTTTTGCTGGCTTTTTTCAGGTTGGTGACAAGGGATCTATGATGCATAGCATATGCAAGACAAGATAAGACGCTAGATTCGGAACCAGGTTTGTCCTCATCATCACCATCCATCTGCCATCGCTTTACTGCACAGCATCTCTGCAAATGTTGTTCTTGCTGGTAATATATTATGACAGATGGAGCCAAGCTATACTGGACTGTAGCCAAGCTCTATTGCCTGCCAGTTCACTACCAAGAACATTTTTGTATCGATCATCCAAAAGCTGGAATGAACTACCACAAAAAATTAATTTCGAAGAGATGTCTTTTTCATTCCAAAATCATTTAAAGTAATGTTTTTAAATTTTATATTATTTTATTCATATTTCATTACTATTCACACTTTAAATATGTTTCTCGTCACTGTGCCACTTTGAAAATCAGTACTATGTTAATGAAAGCACCTACAGTATAAAGATTAAATAAATACCCAAAGCAGTTGATTAAAATGTTTGATGTACTTAACAACATTAATTTGTAAGTTAAATTCCATTTGATGTCTGAATATGATTGATAAAATCAACTTGCTCAAGCACGACTGACCCTAAATCTTAAAAATGTGGAGTTCGCTTTTTTTTTTTTTTTTTTTTTTTTACACAAAAGGGGAGCCAAAATCAAAATTTATTGAGAACTCCCACTTTGATTGTGTAAAGACTTACGTATGACCGTCAGTTTTGCAAGTGGTGCCGATCGAAGTGTTTCTCCCTCGGTGCCTGCTAGTACTTGGCATTCATATTGTCCATCATCTTCCAATACAACATCCTGGATCTAAAATATATTTTGATTAAAATAATTTTCAAAATTTGTAAAGTTACATTTATTATTTTTACTTTATTGTCAGATGTTTGATATGGGACACATTGCTATATTTATCAGAGATATGGACCTTGTTTGTTTTTTTTATTTTTTTTTTTATTGTTTTTACCACACACATATAAAATAAAAATTAATTAACGATAAATATTACAATTATATATGTGTATATATATATATAAAATAACAACAATAATAATAGTAATAATAATAATGACAAAATAAATTATATACAGTATATATAT